CAGGACCAGCAGGACACCAACAGGACCAGCCCCCCCAGCTCTGGTGGCCACAGGAATCCTCCATCACCAGGACAGATCCCATTTATTTGCCAGATCCCATTAATTTGGTGGCCAAACGCACTCCATGCCATGCCCAGCCTGGGCTGGGTGCTCCCCACGGGCTCCCTGGCTCCCTCCTGCTCTTGTCCTGCTCAGCATCACCTTGGCCATGGTGGTTTTGGAGTTGCCCCAAGAGGGAACCCCCAAAACTCCTGCCAAGGGCTGTGCCCTGGTGGGGTCAGAGGTGGGAATTGCTGCTCATCATCCCATGGGGGCAGCCCCTGGCATCCCTGGGACCTCAGGGGATGGAGACAGGGATGGGGTGGGATCACTGAGGGAAGGGTGGGGAGCAGGAGGAGCAGTGGGAGGTGAGACCTTCAATGGTGACCTCCAGGGAGGTTTCCTGCCAGCTGATGCCGTTGCTGGCGTTGCAGGAATAGGAGCCACAGTCCGACCTCTTGGCTGGCCTCAGGTACAGAACGCTGCAGCTGCTGGACAGCCACGAGACTCTGTCTGGGCTCAGGGGCTGCCCATCCTTCCTCCAGGTGATGCTGCCCACTCTGCCCTCTGCCACCTCACACACAACCCGGCCAGTGGCCCGAGCCACGAGGCTGCTGGCCCAGAGCTGAGGGCGGGACACGGGCTCTGGAAAGGGAACAGAAACTCCTGTCAGACACAGAATCACAAAACGGTTTGGGCTGGAGGGACCTTAAAGTCCATCCAGTGCCACCCCGGGGCACATCCCACTGTCCCAGGCTGCTCCAACCTGGCCTTGGACACCTCCAGGGGCAGCCACAGCTGCTCTGGGCACCTGTGCCAGTGACCGTGACCCAGAGCATCCCTGGTGGCCCTTGGGCTGCAATTGCCACCACAGCCACAGTGTGGTCACAGCTGCCTTTCCCTTGGGAAATCCATCCTGCTGCTGTGCTTTCAGGACTGTTTTTTTTCCAGTTGAATCATTGCTTGTAATGGATGTGGATAAATAGACTTTGAAATGTGCCAGGAAATGAGGAAATAGCAGATCCCACTTGGGTCGTGTGTGTTTGGAGGAGAGGCCCAGGGCTGCGGTGGCATTGTGGCCATGGAGTGAGAGCTGGATAAACCAGAGCACATTAAGGGAATTGCTGGCAGAATTCTGGGGAGGGGCTTTGGGGCCTCTCAAGCGCCTCTGGTCTCTGTGGTGGCAGCAGGCGCCTGCAGAGGACAAACGGGACAGGCTGGCCTGAGGGGTGGTGGCTTCTGCAGAAACCTCAGCTCTGTTGGCTCTGCCGGGTGCCTGGGAGAGGGACCCTGCAGGTGGCAGAGTCACCAGAGTGCCACCAGCCCCTCCCTTATCCCTCTGGTCCCTCCATCCCCATCACCCCACTGGTTCTTCCATGCTGTTACTGGTCCCTCCATCCCTGCACTGAAACGTGGGAAACGAGGGAGGGAGGGAGGGAATTGTCTTTCCAGGATGGAACTTGTCCCCTTGTCCCTTTGTCCCTCTGTCCCTCTGTCCCCTGGAAGGTCTCACAGGGCGGCACTTCCAGATCTGCTCCCCCAGGACAGGTTGGGAACCTCCTCCCAAGGTCTCTTGGTGCCGTCTCCACTCGTGACAGACGCAGACAAGCTCAGGACTCCCCATCCAAGGAATCCCCTCTGCCAGCGCCTTGCCCTGCTCGGATCCATCACCCCCCTCCCACCCCCAGCACTCACGGAGCACTTCCAGCTGGAATTCCAGGCTCTCCCTGCCTCCTGTCACTCTGTAGGTGCCACTGTCGCTTTCCTGGACATCCTCCAGCAGGAGAGATCCGTTGGATGGGTGGAAAACTGCTCGTCCTGCATAGGGAGCGTGCAGGGCTGGGGGCAGGACCCCCCCCCGGTGCTGCAGGATGGGGCGGGGGCCGCTGCCATTGAGGAATTCCCAGCACAAGGAATCTCTGAGGATGATGTTCTCCAGCCCAGGGAGCAGCACCGAGGATCCCACAGCAGCGGCTTTGAGGACAGGTCCTGGTGCTGCCAGAGCCCGAGGGAAGAGCACGAGCAGCCCTGGAGGGAGGAGAGGGGAGGGGATGGGGCTGGGGGCTCTGCTCTGCTCTGAGCCCATGGAATGAGCTTCTCCCACCCGAGTTTTTGTCTCACTGACCTCATTCCCGTGGCTCATTCCCAGTTCACGGAGCCCTGGCAAGGTTTGGGTTGGAAAGGAGCTCAAAGCTCTTCTCATTCCAGCTCTGCCATCCACAGGGACACCTGACACAGGGACCAGGCTGCTCCCATCCCTGCCTTTGAGCACTTCCAGGGTGGGACAACCACAAAATTCCTAATTTTTTTTAGGGCTGAAGGTGTCCTGGATGCAGCCCAATCTTCCCGAAATTTCTGTCCCTGTCACGACCTGGCCTCTGGCAGGAGCTCCAGGATTTGAGGAGGAGCTGCTGTGGGAAGGTCCCGGTGCCAGAGCCCCCTCCCCAGTTCAGAGGATTCCAGGGATGGGGGAAGGGTCTGGCAGGGATCCTCCAGGCTGTGTTTGCTCTCAGCCCTGTCCCGATAAGCAGCTGTTCCCTGCATTCCCTCTGCACCTGCCAGGCTCTGGAAACTCCTGCTGCTCCCCGGGGATGCTGCAGCACAGGGGGAGGGAAACCAGGTGTGACAATGCAGGTGAAGTCAAGTTCATCAGGTAATTTTAATTTCTCACTCTTACAACCTTGAAAGGCAGCGACTTTCACGGCTTCCTGCCCCCCAAACTGTAGGGTCAGGAGGAATAAAATACAATTTAATGACTAAAAATTCTTTTTCTCTGAAAATTTTCTTTTTTTTTCTGCTGAGAAAACACTATTTACAGAGAGCAGAACAACGAGCTGAAGGAAAGAGGAAAACACTTCATCTTTTGCAGCTGCAATGGCCACAACTCATCCTACAGACACTGAGAGCTCACTGACACCATCCCAAAATCAAGCTGCAGGGTAATGAGCTTCCTTTCTGTTTTAGGTGCTCAGCCTGAACATCTTTGTGGTTTGGGTCCAGCACAGGGTGCCCAGAGCAGCTGTGGCTGCCCCGTCCCTGGAAGTGCCCCAGGCCAGCTTGGACAGGGCTTGGAGCAGCCTGGGGGTGGAATGGGATGAGCTCCAGGGTCCTTTTCAACCCAAACCCTCCTGTTATTCCACGGTTTGTGTTTCAAGGCAGCCAGTGACTATTTGGGGACCACAGTGAAAACGCTCACATGAGTTTAACTTGTGGCTTTAAAAACATCAATTATTTTTATATATCTCTTTTTAACACAAACACAGATATTAACGTATAAAATTCGTGGTTTTAAAAACATCAACTACTTTTACGTATCTATTTTTAACACGCAGATATTAACATAAATACTGATATTTATGTGTGAGTACATCTATCACCCCACTATAAACCTGGCTGCAGCAGATTTGATTTTATTTTAGGAGCTGTGCGTGGCTTTTCCTCTACTTGGACAAACGCTTTGCCTTTTACCCACCTAAAAGCTCCCCGTGCTCGGCTCCAGAGGGGTTTGGAAGGGGTGAGGAGCCCCCATCCCATCCCATGGATCCCATCCCATCCCAGCCCTGCCTCCTTACCTGCCAGGAGCACCCAGGTGTTTCCCAGCAGCTCCCGGGGACGGCACAGCGACATCTGCCAAGGGAAAGCAGCCCCGGCTTGTCCCGGTTTAAAACATCCCCGACAATCCCGAGCCGTGCCGGGGCAGCAGGGGAGGCTGTACCGTGGCTTTCCAGCCCTGGGATGGATTCTCGCTGCCTCCCCCCCGCTATTCCCAGCCTGTTTTCCTGCCGCTGCCTCCTCTTCCTCCGCGATTCCCCTCCCAGGCTCCTCCCGGGAGTGGCAGCAGCGCAGCGCCCGCTCCTGTCCCTGCCCCTGCTCCTGTCCCTGTCCCTGCTCCTCTTCTTGATCCTGATCCTGCTCCTGATCCTGTCCCCTCTCCTGTCCCCGCTCCCCCGGGAAGGATCTGCCCGTGGCTCCCGCACCGCGCTGGGATCCATCGGGGGCTCTGCCGGGTAGGGCAGGGGTCGCACAGGTATAAAAATTCCAGGGGACATCGGCCCATCCATCTCCCTGGCCGATGATCCATCCCCATCCCTCTCCCAGCGCCTGCAGCAGAGCTGGGACTCGCCCCCAGCCCGGAGCAGCTTTTTCCTTCAGCCCTGGTGTGCTGTGATCACCTACACCTCGCAGGCTTTCTGCAAAGGGATTTTCAGTTTATACTCCTGCACCACATCCACAACTCCTAAAAATCCTTCGGAACCCTCTGAGCAGCAATTCCTGCGCTTCTCCCGAGGGATGGAGACACGGCAGCGGCACCGGGAGCCCCGAGCCCGCCCGGGGACGGCACTCGAGGGACTCTGAAAAGCGAATTTCTGGCATTTTGGAAGGGAAAGGGCGGAGCAGCGCTCGGGGGTGGGATCAGCCCAGCACGGGAACACCCAGCGCGTTCCCCGCCGCTTCCAGCAGGGAACGCTCGAATCTTTTTTTCTTTCCTTGCCTGTGGAAGGGAGTGGCTTTGTCCCCTTCAAAAACTGGAGGTGGAACAGGAGGGATCCTCTCTTTTGCTGGGCTCATCCCAGCGGGAATCTCCCCGCAGGTCCCAGCTGCCACCACTGCCACCTCCCACCTCTGTCCCAGGGACCTTTTGGGGGTAAATACCCTTTCTGTGGGCAAACCATTCTCTTTTCGTACAATCTTTTATTAATATCATCGTGATTATTGCGATTTCTTCAGTAAATTGTGACTCCAACTCAGAATCTCTCCCAGTGTTCTTCTCCCACTGTGGAAAGAGGTTGGCTGGAGGGGGTTTGATTTTCCTGCTGGATTTTAAAACTGGTTCCTGCTGGGATCCAAGGCTGCCTCTGGAGCTGTACCTGGCAGAGGGCAGCTCACCTGGCACCGCCTGCCCAGCTGGGCTCCCTCTGAGCCCTGCTGCCTCCCAGGGATGGCAAGGGAACCCCAGGACCGGGAGCATCGGGGAGCTGAGCCCACAGCAAGAGCAGCTGTCAGGAAAATCTGATTGCAGGAGATTTCAGGAGTGTCTTGGCACCACAATCTCGACATTCAGTGTTTGGATTAAACAAGGGCATCAAGGTGAGCACCTGCACTGCCCTGAGGACACAGAGAAGCTCACACAGCACAGCCAGGGGTGAAGGGGCCCAGCCCTGCCCTAAGGTCTGCTCAGGGCAGAGGAACAGCCCAAAACAGATGGCAGAATGGAAAATTCTGTAACAGCCCAAAAGAACTGGAAGAATAAAAAAATTCTGTAACAGCCCAAAAGATGTGGCAGAATGAAAAATTCTGTAACAGCAGGATTTGCTTTTGTTCCTCACCCCGTGGCCCTCCAGTGTGGCACAGGAGCTGAAAGGCACCTCTGAGTTACATTCAGAGTGGGACAATTTTGGGAAAGAATCCACCCAAAGAGTGAGGTTCATGCAGCAGAGTGTGATGATGAACTAACACCAACTCCTTAAAAAAAGGATGGGACAGGAGGCACCGTGGGAGGTTTGCCAGGAGTCCTGGGGCTGCTGAGCCTCAACACAAGTGCAGTGAACAGGCAGAGGGAACAGCAGCATGGCAGTGCTGCAAGTCAAGGAAAAGTGGGAATTCCAGCCCTCATTTATCATCATCTCTGCTTCCCTTGTCCTTCTCCAACCTAACCCTTCTCAGAAATTCCCAAAGTACCCCAGGATCTCTCCAGGCCCTCTCTCAGGCAGCTTGGCTTGGATCAGTGGTAACAGACAGGATCCCAGAGGTTTCCATTCTGCTCTGCTGAAAATCCCCTAAAATTGGCAGCCCAAAAAAAAAAAGGCCAAACGGGGAATAATGCAAAGCTTCCAAATCCTGAAGGCACTTGTTGGAGGAGCACTTCCATGGTGGGATTAACCAGGACTGAGCCACCCTGGCTGGGAGCATGGACAGCCTGTGCTCAAAATCCCAAAAAACCAATCCCAAACCTTTGGTTTCCACCTGCCCCCTGTCCTGAGCAGCCCTGGGAGCTGCCTGGGGAGGGTGGAGGTGTCTGAGGTATTGCAGTGTCATTGCTGGGGTGAGGCACTGAACAGAGGGCTGGAGCACCTGGGGAGGCACCAGCTCACCTGGCCAGGTGTGGCACTGAGGGGCTGGGGGCTCCTGATGCTCCCAGAGTGACACTGAGGGGCTCCTGCCTATCCCAGGGTGGCACTGAGGGGCTCCTGCCTATCCCAGGGTGGCACTGAGGGGCTTCTGGCTCTCCTGGCAGTGGGACTGGGGGGCTCCTGCCTCTCCCAAAACTGGGACTGGGGGCTCCTGGTGCTCCCAGGGTGGCACAGAGGGACTTCTGCCTCTTCCTAAAATGGGCCTGAGGGCTCCTGGCTCTCCTGGCAGTGGGACTGGGGGGCTCCTGCCTCTCCCAAAACTGGGACTGGGGGCTCCTGGCAGTGGGACTGGGAGGTTCCTGGCTCTGCTGGCAGTGGGACTGGGGGACTCCTGGCTCTCCTGGCAGTGGGACTGGGGACTCCTGGCTGTCCCCAGGCTGGGCCTGGGGGCTGCTGGCCCCGTGCAGGGCTGGCCTAGGCCTGCAGCCCCAGCAGGCGGGCCGTGTTGAGCACGTCGTCCCTGGTCAGGTAACAGCCACAGAGCTGCCGGTAGCCCGTGAACGCCTCCCGGCCGTGCAGGACACGCCAATTATCCACAAACAGCGCCTGCAGGACACGGAAAAGCTCATCAGGAGGACAGCAGCCACAGCAGGCAGGGTCCCGGGCATCCCTGGAGACTGGAAGAGCAGGTAAGGGTGTGCCACGGTGGGCACGAGCCTCCTGCTCCACCTGGCACAGGTGAGGCCACAGGCAGCTGTCCCCAGGGGCCAGCACAGCTCTTTATGGAGCCAGCCCACAAACACATTTTGGGGTTTCTTTCCTTTCTACTGGAGAGGAAACACTTCACCAGCAATAGACAGTGGCCAGCTCATGACTGAATCCCAGAATGCTTGGGTTGGAAGGAACCTTCAAGCCCATCTGGTTGCACCCTCTGCCATGGGCAGGGACACCTTCCACCATCCCAGGTTACTCCAAGCCCCGTGGAACCTGGCTCTGAACATTTCCAGGGATGGGGCAGTTCTAAGCTCCTTCCTCTGTGTCACTTACCCATGTAAGGGCTCAAACATAACCTCAGAAGTGTAATTTCTTCTGGAAGAAATGAAACCTGAACATTTAAGTGTTCTGGCCTCTTTGCTCCTGAGGATTCTCATCTCAGGCTGGAAACTGGGATTAACTTTCCTCTGAGGCAGAGCTTGAACTGAACATCTCTGCCTCACCCGGGAGCTGATACTGCTTTAGGACAGCAGAACACCCAGGCAGAGTGTGTGTTAATGAACTGCTGTTAATGCTGGAGCACCCAAACCGAGGGATACGGCAGCACCCAGCCACGAGCACACCCACGGAGCACCCTGCCCTTCTCCCTGCTCCAAACCCCACAGGATTCAGCTCCAAATCCCAGCCTGGACCAGCCCCAGAGGACGCAGCTCCAGGTCCCACCTTGCCCGGTTTCAGCTTGACCCAGAGCTCGTTGTGGGGCCGGCGCAGCTCGGCGGTGAGGGCGCGGTGGGCGCGGTACCAGCGGCGCACCACGGAGTGCGGCACGGTGTTAATGACTGCACGGTCGTAATTGTTGTACCTGCAGGGACAGCAATGCCTCGCGTTTCAGCTTTTGTGTTTCTCAGCATCTCTGCTGCTCAGTGTGTAACTCTGAGCCTTCGTGTGAGGTGTCAGGGAGTTCTCTTCACACGGGAGTGACAAAACAATTCCTTTCCAGCTGGAGAATCAAGGACAACTGGTACCCAAAAATCAGAAACAACAGCGAGGGAAAGGGGGCTGAGACTTCATAGCCTGGGGCTGTGGGTGGATCATTGACCCCAATGTATAAATGAACCAAAACCTGTAAAAGTGTAAAACTCATGACCAGAATCCATCTGGGATTTGCTTTGGGTGCAGCTCTGGCCAGGCTCCTGCACTGCCCAAAGTGAATCCTTTCAATAAATACCTATTTTATCCCTTTCAATAAATACCTATTTTATCCCTTTCAATAAATTCCTATTTTATTCCTTCCAATAAATACCTTTTTTATCCCTTTTGCTCTGTCTAGTCTCTGCTCCAGGTCAGCCTTTCCAGGCAAGAGGAGAGACAAGACACTGCCCAAGAGAACCTCAGGAGCCTGTGGTGGTTATGGCTGTTTAAGGAAGGCTGCAGAGGTCACCAGAGAGGTTTTGCTGCCAGCACGGGACTTTTGGGAACACAGCACTGAGGAGTTTCCTATCAAGTGTACACCTGCTCCTCCTGGTTTTCCATGGAAAGAACGAGAGTTGCTCAGAGTGGAAGTGCAGAGCAGTGCTGGACAATCTCCAGACCTGAGCCAAACTGGAGTTTCAAAGCTCAGCCCAAGCTCCCTTTGGAAGGGATCACTGTTCCCTCTCCCTGTTCCCTGCATGCCAGGATGGTTTCTAGGGGCTTCTCCAGAGTAGGGCTGAATTCTTCTGCATCCCCAATGGAATGGGATGAGAGCTTGGAGCTGAAGGGAGAATGCCAGGAGTGAAAAATCAAAGCTCAGCACTGACACCCATCTTTGTATCAGGGGTGCTGACACTTCCTCCAAAGCAGGAGGAACACAGGGTGCTCATCCCTGCTGCCCCAAGACACACTGGAACATGTACACAAAGACAGCCCATGGAATCTTCTGGTGTCCTGGGGTGACTTTGTGATGTTTGTATCCCCAGTTGTCTGTTCTGTTGAATATTGAGTTCTGCAGCTTTAGGCCTGGTTCCAGGAGTGAAGGGGGAGAGCAGAGGTGCAGAGTTTGTTATCACAGACTGCCCTTGCTGCCCCCCATCCTCCACACAGCCTGTGCTGTCTGCAGTGCACAGCAGCACACAGCTCTCCTCTGCTTTTGGTTGGTTTTTCTGGCTGGCTGAGGCAGAGGAGTTCCCTGTTTTTTTTCCATTTTCTTGGAATTGTGTGAACCTGCTCTGGACTGAAAACCCAGAGGAGCACTGGGAGCTCACAGCTGTGTCCTACCAGGCCTGGCCTGGGCTGTGACATTTCCCAGCTCTGGAGGGACTGAGAACAGCCTGAGTGAGCTGGGCTGCAACCCAGGGAAGGGACCCTTCTGAATCTGTCATCTCTTCAGAGCAGAGAGAGGTTTTGCTGTTTAGTTTTGTTCATTTTTGTGCTGGGAAGTGCTTTGCCTGTTAAATAAACAGATTTTTCCCACTTCTCTCCAAGGAAATAATTCCCCAAAGTTAGGGGAGGGATTGCTTGAATCTGTTTCCTAAAGGGACCCCATTGAGAGGTTTCCTCCCTAAATTTGCCCATCTGGAAAACCCCCACCACAAGGGTGTGTCCCCCCAGAGGCTCCTGGTGTTACCTGATGAGGTAAAGCTCGTTGTTCCAGGGGTACACGTTGAGCACGGGCCCCACTCCGATCATGTGGTTGTGGCAGTCGCCCACGTTCTCCACGTACTCGTGTTTGAGGGGCACCTTGGCCAGCAGCTCAAAGAGCTCTGGGGCCTGGAGCCTCACCTGCTCAGCTGCATGGAAGCCATCCACCAGCAGCGTCCTCCCACCTGTGCCCTCGTGCTTCAGGCAGTGGAACACCTGGATGCTGCACAGAGACAGAGCAAAGAGTGTGGCTGCTGTGCCCTGTGTCCTCCCCAGGACACAGCCAGCTGGGCATGGATGCTCCCCCCACACCTGCTGCTGCCCCACACCCAGCCCCACGTGTTTTGTTGGTGAGGAGGCAGCAAACTGCCTGTGCTGCTGCTCGAACACAGGTAAACGAGTCTGGGACATTTCAGGAGCTGCAGGATCAAAGTCACATCACCCAAAACCCAAACCCAGAGGCTGCCCCAGCCCTGAAATGTCCAAGGACAGGCTGGGTGGGGCTTTGAGCAGGCTGGGACAGTGGGAGGTGTCCCTGCAGCAGCACATACCCACAGGGCTCCTGGAAGTAGGTGGTGTCTGTGTGCCTGTCCAGGGCCAGCTTGGTGTAGGCTGTGTCTCCCCGGGAGAAGTCAGAGGTGAAGTACCACATCCTGCCATAAATGGTCTCCCTGGAAAAGAGACACCACGGCTCAGGGGCTGTGTAAGGCACACCCTCCTCTACGTTTGAGTTATCCCCCCTCTGTCCCATGCACAAGAGTCATTAAAGCACAACGATTTCACAAAATTCACATTGTTAGGGATGGTGCTTCTGAGCCCTCTTCGGGAGTTCAGCTCCTCTTTTTGCTCCCCAAAACGTTGGTGGTGATGAGCCTTCCCCTCCACACACACCAACCATCATCCCCAGACATGCAAGTGACACAAAGAGCTGCCCCAGTGCAGCCAGCCCTTACTTGTATCCACACAGGGCTGCCCAAGAATTCCATTTCTTCTTCCCAGAATCCTGTTTTCACTTCCTCCCCTTCCAACACACACAGGAGGGAAGGGACAGCAGGCAAGGCCAAACACAGCACTCAGGGGCTACAGGGGGAGGGAGCCTGGAGACCAAAGCTGGCTGGATATTCCCTGGAGCCCCTTGTTGCTCTTTGGAGTGACTGTTTATTAGCAGGAATCCCTCCTTTCCCAATGGCTCCAGGCAAATCAAACTGTTCCCACAGCTGGACAGAGCCCCAAGCTCAGCCCCTGGCCTGCCATGCTGGTGGTGCTTTGCACAAACCCAAACCAACACCTCTCACTGTTTTTCTGCAGCAAGAGCTCCCACTGGTTTTTGATCTCCCTGGCTCCCAGGACCAGGCTGCCCTCACGACCCCTCAAGTCATAACAGGAAATGTCTCTCCTTGCAAAGCTCTGCTCTTCCCAGACAGCCACTTCCTTCAGTCCCTCCTCCCTGCACAGTCCCACTGGCACAAAAGTCACGGGATGCTCTGGGGGCAGCTCAGTAACTGAGTGATTCCCAGCTCTCCCATAAAGGAGGGTGGATCCCACACTGGGATGCTCCACCCCAGGCCGAGGGCAGCAGCCAGAGCATTTGTCTGCAAACCTGGCCATGCCACACAAAACACAGGACAAGGAGGCAGCAGCTTTCCCAACAGAAAGAAAACAAGTTTACCCTTCCCAGGACAGCCCAGCTACCTGATTATGCTGATCCTCTTTGCCAAGATTTCCGTGTCCTCTTTGGTGGGAGGGACATTCTCCACAAAAGCAATCCCATACAACAAGAAGTTCTGCAGGAACTCCTTCAGGCCCTCGTGTGTCTGCAGGAAGTGCTGGCAGTCGATGGAGGGGACCTGGGCTTGCTGGTAGATGTCAGCATTCCAGAGGATCCGGGGGTGCATCACCTGCTGCTGCTGGCCCTCGTAGCTGTTCCTGGCCAGCCACTCCAGCCCGTAGCGAGTCACGTGCCCATCGGGCCCTGCCACAGGGACAGGGGCACAGTCACCAAAACCCCACTGGGATCGTGGCACCTGTCAGCCCAGGACTGCCTCACCCTTGTCACCAGTCTGGGGATGGCTCTTTGCACCCTGCTGCCACCCAAAATATGACCTGAAAGGCCACGAGGCCTAAAGGTGTTGTCACTGCTGCCACAACTCCAAATTCAGGGCAGCTGCTGCAACCCTCTCCAAATTCCCAGCTGTTCCATCTGCAGTGGTTTTGGTTTTTGTTGACAAGACTCCAAGGACAATCAAAGCTCTGAAGTCAAGCTCTCAAATAAAGGTAGAAAGGTTCTACCAAATAAAGGTTTTTCCACCAAAAGGAAGCAAGCAGCTGGGAAAGTGAGGAGAAATGGCAGAAAATGAGCACGGTGAGCAGGGCTGACAGCTGCTCACACAGGATGGGGAAGGAAAAGAGAAACAACTGTGTCATGGCCCATCTGTTCAGCACCTCACTGCTGGGGGAGTGTGACAACCCAGGCACTGCACACACACACACACAAAGGGCTGGGGCAGGAAAACCACCCCACCCTGCTGCAGAGGTGTGCAGTGTTTAAAACCTGCTCACAGCTCAGCATCCTCCCAGATGTGGGGATAATGCTCAGGCAGAAAGGGAGCTGGGGGTACTGGCTGACAGCTGGCTGAACGTGGGCCAGCAGTGTGCCTTGGTGGCCAAGCCAATGGCACCTGGATCAGGAATGGTGTGGCCAGCAGGAGCAGGGAGGTCATTCTTCACCTGTACTCAGCACAGGTGAGGCCACACCTCGAGTGCTGTGTCCAGTTCTGGCCCCTCAGTTTAGGAAGGATGTTGAGATGCTTGAGAGTGTCCAGAGGAGGCAACGAGGCTGGGGAGGGGCTTGGAACACAAACCCTGTGAGGAATGGCTGAGGGAGCTGGGGTTGTTTATCCTGGAGAAAAGGAGATTCAGGGGTGACCTTGTCACTCTCTACAGTTCCCTGAAAGGTGGCTGTGTCAGCTGGGCTTGGTCTCGTTCTCCAGGCAGCACTGACACAACCAGAGGACACAGCCTTAAGCTACATCAAGGGAAAATTAGGTTGGATATTAGGAAAAAGTTTTTCATGGAAAGAGTGATAAAATACTGGAATGGTTCTGCCCAGGGTGGTGGTGCAGTCACCATCCCCCTGGATGTGTTTAAAAAAAGCCTGGATGTGGAACTCAGTGCCACGGTCTGGGTTGGACTTGATCTTGAAGGTCTCTTCCAACCTGGTGATTCTGTGAATTCTGTGAATTCTGTCAACTCTGTGAATGCTGTGAATGCTGTGATTCTGTGAATTCTGTGAATGCTGTGATTCTGTGAATGCTGTGATTCTGTGGATGCTGTGAATGCTGTGATTCTGTGAATGCTGCCCCCCCACCCCAGCAGGCACAGGAGATGCTCAGCACTCACAGGTGAGGAAGAGTGTGGTCTCATCCACCCTCACAGCCTGGGGCTGGATGTCCAGGTCCACGCTGGCCGTGTCCAGGCTGCGCTGGTTGGTCTTGGCGTTGTAGCAGGAGGCAGAGCGGCAGTGGTCCCGCAGCCACACGAAATCCAGGCGCATCACGGTGCTCCCGTACCTCAGCTCTGCAGGGAGGGGACAGGGAGGGGACACAGCGGCCTTTGGGGCAACAGGGAGGACAAACAAAGCCAAGAAGCGAAGCCCAGAGCCCACGGGGACGCTGTGGTAGCCCTTGATGTAAATTGTCACATTGTGGCGCCTTTGCTTTGGAGCCTCTGTGTGAAAGGCTCAGCAATTCCCCTTGCCTGCAAGTGACTCCGAGTACTGAGAGCTCACTGGCCTCAGCTGCAAAGGTGGGGCAGCAGAGGGGGGCACACACCAGAGCTGAGGGGGGCTCTGCCAGGGAGAGCCTGAGCATGGCACAGAAAATGGTGCCTGACAGGGCAAGGCTCAGTTTTTGTGCAGGAATCCCTGGGTTTGATTACTCATTTAGTAATCGTAGAAGACATTTGGGAATTCCTGCAGGGAACACGAGACACCCCCAGCGTGCACCCCTCTAACACAGGCTAGTTCAGAAGGAAAACACCCCGGGAACAAAGCTGGCAACCCTCCCTGCTGTCCCCGGGCACAGCAGGAGCACCCACAGGCAGCACACCTACCGAGATGGTCCTGGTGCAGCTGCCAGGCACAGGGAGGGGACGCTGGGGCTGTGGGGTGGCAGCGAGCTGGGGTAGCCACGATGGGCCTGGGGGCTCGGGGTAGCCGTGGCCAGTGATGTCCAGGGCTGCCATGGCACCCCCGGAACAGCCTCGCCAGCCTCTGGCACCACATCCTGGCAGCCAGCACACAGGGGACACGGTGACTCGGATGTGATGCTCTGTCCTAAAATCCAGCAGGACACAGCCCTGAGGAGACACAAAGGAGATCCTGTGAGGTTTGGGAGGCCCTGGCACAGGGTGCCCAGAGCAGCTGTGGCTGCCCTGGATGCCTGGCAGTGCCCAAGGCCAGGCTGGACACTGGGGCTGGAGCAGCCTGGGACAGTGGGAGGGACAGGGAAGGTGTCCCTGCCATGGCAGGGGTGGAATGGGATGGGATTTAAGGTTTTCCTTCCAACCCAAGGCATTCCATGATTCTGTGATTTACCAGGCACAGCCATCCCAGGAGAGACAGCTGTGTTCAACACTTGGGTAAAACAGTGGCAAAGCCTCATCTCTGAAGGTTTTGCCTCCCCTTCCAGCACTCCCAGTTTGGATTCACCATTCCTGGATGGAACTGCAGCAATCATTAACCTTGGTTAGGGAAGCAATAACAGAGGAATCCAGTAATTAGGTCAGTTCTAGAAAAAGCAAGCAAAACAATGAGGAGGAGGACGAAGATCTCTGCTGCTGGTGAAGGACACAGCTGGCATGGAGGAGAAACCACCGTGATTAATTTTAGGATAGAGATTAGAAGGAGATTTCTCCCAGGGAAATTTGTAACAACTCTTCAGTGCAAAGAAAAAGAGCAAAAACCCTGACAAGTTTTAAGAGATGATGCCTCAGTCTAAATGCCTGTCATGTTTATGGATTTCTGGGGGCCAGGTCTAAACCCAGCAGGATTTTAAGAGCCCTTTGAAGTGCACTGCAATGTGGTCTCTCTGGATAAGACACAGGCTCAGAAAGCATTTCTTATCCTAGACTTCTGATTTTCCTTCGTTTTCTTATCTGGAGAGTCCAGGCACTGGAGCTGTGGCTGTCCAAGCTGCTCCTGCTCTGCACAGACCCCAGCAGCTGCTGATAACAACCAAATCCACAACCAAATCCACAGAGGTGCCACATTCCCAGCCAGAAACTTGTTAAAAGAATGCAGCCATCCCTAGGGAGAAAAAGTGGGAGCGTTTTTGAAGAGAAGGTCTGAGATGAAGGCACACTGACACACTTCAGCCACAGAATTCTTTCCAGGAGAATTTTCCCCACATCCAACCTAAACCTCCCCTGGCACAGCTTGAGGGTGTTTCCTCTTGTCCTAGCCCTCGTTAACTGGGAGAAAATTCCAAACCTCTTGGCTCCAGCCTCCTTTTCCAAGATATCCATTTTCTGCTCCTGCTGCCCAGCTTTGAAAATCTGCTACAGGAAGAGGAATGAATTCCCATAACCAAGGGAATAAAACTCACAGCTACAAAATCCTGGAGCTGTCTTTGATGTTTATCAGCTTTAAAATCTTTAAGAAATTCCTTAAATCCCTGAACAGACTCACAAAGTTTATCTGAGAGAGGGAAACCCTGTCCAGTTTGGCTTTTGGATCCACTATCCCAGTGAGGAGTGGAAAACAGAAGGAATCTTGTTTGCACCCACAAACAGGACCCAAAATGCCAGGAAAGGCTCACCCACAAACCTGTTGGCACAAACTTCAGTTTGATTTTTCCACACACATTTCTTTTATCTCCTCCTCTCCCAGTACCAAAACTGAGCAGGGAATTAACACAGGTTAGTGACCTCATCAGGGACATCTCGTGCTGCTCTTACTGGAACAAAACACCACAAGCAGCTCACTTAGAACCTTCAATTCAATCTTTCCAAGAGATACTAAAACTAAGAGGGATTAAACCCCCAAAAATCTGTATGATTAGTGAGAATTTACAGTTTTTGTGGTTTCATCAAAGCTAACGGCTGGATGAGCTATGTGAACTCTCTTCCTGCACCTCCTGCTACCTCACCTTTATGTTTTATGTGGTCCAGACACCTGGGCAGCAGTGAAATGAGAGAATTCCTGACAAAATTTCCCTCAGAATTCAAAGGGAAAGGGCAGGAGGGAACAAACATTAAATACTAAATAATAAAACTAAAAAATACTAAATAATAAAAATTATGTGTGCATAAACTCACATGGTGGGTGAGGTGCAGGCACAGAACCCACAGGGTGAAGAAGAGTGCTGGAGGAAAAAGCAGAAACCTCAAATCTGTTGTGGTTTGAGAAATTCCCATCAGTCTTTGGACAGGAAGGAGCAGAAAGGAAGGTTGGGTTTCCCAGGGGTTAACCCTAATCCTAACACTGCAGTTTGTCTCACAAGAAACATTTCAAGGAAACAAAACTGGGTTTAAGCTCTTTGAGGAAAAGCCACAGTCCCCATTCTGGGCAAAGGAAATGGTGAAAAAATGAGTGACCAAAAAGTTTCAGCAATGGGAACATCTAAGGAAGGAGAAACCCCACAAATCTGGAGGCTTTCACCAGATTTTAGCCAAACCCTCCTGGGAATGGGATGACCCTGCTGCCCTCCCTGCCCTGCTCCAGCCCCTCCAGCCTGTTTATCCAGCTCCTCTCAACAACAACAAAAAAATATTAAAAACGGTGTTTTCTATTAAAAACACCTCAAACATTCAGCTGCTCACACTCACTCAGTTTTTACTTCTGGAGTAACGTGGCTGGAGCCAGGGTTTCTGATCCATATGGAACAGGGAGGTGTGAGCAGCACAACAGTCCCAAGTGAGGGAAAGGAATTTGGGTTTTGATCCTCTGGGATCCTTTAACCTGACAGCTCTCTCTGCAGTGAAGGAACACCAAAAAAAAAAGAGGAATTCTGCAAAGGCTGAGCTGCCCTGAGGGCTCTGCCAGAGCCAGAGGAGCCCAGAGCACAAGGCCAGGTGACAAACCAGATCCCCCAGGACGGCAGCACCTCTTGGACAGGACACAGGCAGAGTTTAACAGCCTGAGCTGACTCGGTTAATTACAATTAATTACCACAGAGACAAAAAGCAGACTGGCTGTTCCCTGCTGAGCTCCTGGCCTCACCCTGCAGACAACTCCATCAGATCTCAGCTGTCAGGAACCAGATTCCCCTTCCAGCCCTTCCCCACATGGGATTTCAATGAAATTAAGGAGCTAAAAAAGACATCCCAGGCACTGCCAGCTTCACAGCTACTTCATTTTCCTGGAAGCAAAGGGAATTATCTGCACACCCCTCTCCCACAACCTTATTCCAGCCTCTTGTTTGCATTTTTGCCAAGAAAAGCCTTTCCAGGCCACACAGCTCAACAGAAACAAATTAATTCTGATTTTTTTTTTGTTTGTTTGTTTTCCAGCAAAGCAGCCAGCCTTGATGGTAGAACCCCCCAAGAGGAGTTACTGCAATAAACTCTTAATTCTAAATCACATGATGCCCAGGGTCCTGCCTGGGCAAAGAGCAGCCAGGCAGCTCTCTGGGCAGGGAGGAGTTGTGTTTTTCCAGGGCTGCAGCCTTTCATTCCCTTTGGATGGGATGGCAATGCCTGTGTGTCCCCAGGCCTGGCTTTACCTGGGACCCTGCAGTGCTGGGCAGAGCTGGGGGATGCTGGAGAGAGGCTGCGGCTGGGCTTGGGGTGATGAAGGGATCACGGAGGTTCTCAGGGTCCTGAGGGAATCACGGAGGGCTCGGGGTGCTGAGGGGATCACAGAGGGTTCGGGCTCTGAGGGGATCACAGAGGGTTCGGGTTCTGACCTGGTCACGGTCGGGCCGTACCGGAGGGGATCCCGCAGTTTCTCCGCTGCCGCTCCGGGCTCTCGGCCGCTCCTTCCTCCTCTTCCTCCTCCAGCTCCCGCCGCCCACCAGGCCCAAAACGCCGCTCGGAGCTTTCCCACATGGGCCGCTGCTGCCCGAGGGAACCTCGGCGTCTCGGTGACTCTTTAAAGAGGCAAAAAACAAGGAAAAAAAAAAAGCTACGTTGCAAACGGGTCCCTCCCCGAGCCCCGCGGGAAGCACCAGCCCCGCTCCGAGCACAGCCCCCGACCCACCTCGGCAGCTGCCCGGCCCCCGGCGCAGCCCCGGTGCCTCGGAGCGGCGCTGCCGGGCCCCCAGAGCCCGCGGGCGGCGGCGGGGCCGGGCCGGGAGCGGGGCCGGGGCCGCCTCAAGCCGCCCCGGGGCGGGGCCGCCGCCGCCATAGAGACGCGCGGGGCAGAGCGCCCGCAAACCATAGAGCCGGGGCGGGACGGGGCCGACGGCAAGCGGGACATGAACCGGGACAGGGCCGCCCCGGGAGGCGCCGCGGCTCCGGCGGCCGTTCCGGTCCGGGAGGCTGCGGGATGGAGCGCTGTAGGCGCACGGAGAGCGTGGAAGGGGCGGATGGAGCGCGGCCCCGCGGGCACGGCCGGTGCCGCCGGGGTGAGAGCAGCGCCAGCGGTGACGGCCGGGCCGCAGAGCCGCGCTGCAGTGCTGCCCCCTGGCGGGCAGGAGGACTCACGGACAGCGGGAGCAGCGGCGCTGTCCCGGCCCTGTCACTGTTCCTGTCACTGTCACTGTTCCTGTCACTGTTCCTGTCACTGTCACTGTTCCTGTCACTGTTCCTGTCCACTGTCACTGTTCCTGTCACTGTCACTGTCCCCTGTCACTGCCACTGATCCTCTCCCCTGTTATTGTCACTGTCACTGTCCCTGCCTACCCCTTCCCCGTCGTCACTGTCCTCCCATCTCCAGTCCTGCTGCAGGTGATGTAGAGCAGGGGATACACAAACACACAAACACTCACACTCACACTCACAC